ACGCCCTTTGAAATCACTTTCAGAGCCGGCCGGCCTTGCCTCCAAATCGATCAGCTGTTGGGGCCTTTTATTTTGATCGGTATTTTCTACTCCCAAAAAATCGAAAGTCGCGGATGCCCAGTGCATTCACGCTGTGCTGCATGTGTAATTCTTCGAGATAAATAGCTGTGTTTTGGAAAATTGAGTTGTCTGTGGAAGTAGTGATCTGTTGCTGAGAGCCGTTGCCATGTGTGTTTTGTGTGTTAAAGCTCAAACGAATCTTTGGTTTCACCGGAGACGTGTTGAAGTGAACAGGCTGTTTGTAGTTGTTCTGTCCTGTCCGCGTCTTATCACTTCTGTGGCATGTGTTCCCACCTGTCGTCTTCTGACTTCATGCTCTTGGCTCAACCTAAGTGTCCCAAAAGAGTTTGTGTTGGCGAAACCCAATAACAAAAGACAGACCTCCTCTCTGGACTAATCACACGCTATCGATTCCGGTTCCTTCATTGTTTCCTGTCCGCACTATCCTCCTGATGCCCTGTCGCCAACCCCACCCGCCAGATGTTATGCTGATAGAGGTTCCCCCGTCCAGGATTCATCTCAGCGCTTCAGAATGCCCNCAAGGGCGGCGCTGATTTTATTTGTTAACATTTTACACCATGATGCTAATTTTGAGGCTTGCACTCGTATATACATATTTAGATAAAACAACCGCACAAAAATCAATTCAAAATGCACATTCTTCCTCTCTCTCTCTCTCTCTCTCTCTCTCTCTCTCTCTCTCTCTCTCTCTCTCTCTCTCTCTCTCTCTCTCTCTCTCTCTCTCTCTCTCTCTCTCTCTCTACTCTCTCTCTCTCCTCTCTCTCTCTCTCTCTCTCTCTCTCTCTCTCTCTCTCTCTCTCTCTCTCTGTCTCTCTCTCTCTCTCTAAAACACAGAAACAGGAAAATAAGAGTGCACATTTCACTCCTGTGGTTTTTACGAGTTTGCTAAAAACCAGCGTGATCAACACCTTAAATTCCATCACAATTACACTGCCAATGTTCTCGATGTCAGCTTTCCTCTTTTACCCCAATTGTACTCGTCCTACTCTCTCTTTTTGTACTTTCAAACTGCACTTTTTGTGCTCTTATCTTCTCCTATCCTCTTCCACCTTTTCATTGTGTCCTCTTAATCTTACCCTTTTTCTATTTTGGTTTCAAACAAATAATAGTATAATAAAGGCGGTCTACTCATCAGTCCGACACATGTACAGTTTGAGTGTGGTTACATGTTGTAATGGGCTTAAAACCCAGTGTGGAAAAGTACGTCCAACTGCAACTCAGTGCTAATCCGACAAAATGTAGAACAATTATTTTAATTGACTGTGGCATGAAGAAATAGTGAGGAACCCCCGATGTGCCTCATTCAGTGTCTTGGAAACCAAGTCAATATTGACCACGTTAAATGTGGTCGCTGGCTATTAATAGGGAAAAGTCCTGCCATATAAGGATATACAGTTTGGCTTACTTTGGGTCTGGCTGGCCTTTATATCATAATATCAATTATAGGTCTCTCCTGCCAAATATGCAGCTCTCAGCTAGTACTACAGTTTTCCTACTCGGTGGACCAACGTGTGTGTGTGTGTGTGTGTGTGTGTGTGTGTGTGTGTGTGTGTGTGTGTGTGTGTGTGTGTGTGTGTGTGTGTGTGTGTGTATAAACAGTGGGCAGCTACCAGCAGCTACAGCTTTCCAAAGAACAGAGAGAGAGAGAGAATAAAGACTGAGAGAATGAAAGAAGGATAAGCAGAACTAGTGTAGCCTGCAGTCTTTGTGTTCAGCTACAACTGTCTGTGTCACCCTGCCAGGAATAGTACATGTTACCCTTTTAGCGTTGCTGGGATCTTTTGTGGCTACTCATGTTAACTTTCTGCAGCATCTCAGTGCTGAGTGCAGCTGGCCTATCATCCCTTTGGTGGTGACGTTATTTCACTAAAAGAGCTTGTCTGGATATTGGCTTTGGATCTGCTTGTTCTAAAGGTAAAGTATTGTCTCTTTTATATTCTGCCTTTTTTGTTTTGTCAGGCTTTCTTAAAGTTGTGGTGGGGGTCTGTTGTCTGATAAATAGTCATTCTTTCTATTTAACTGTACACAGCTTAATGTGTGCTGCATTCACTAGATGCTGCTGCGTCAAAGGGTTCGATCCATAGCTGTTTTGGAGCAGTTTCTCTTAAACATAATAAGTCGGTTGTGCTTCTTTTGATGTTCTCATGAAAAAAAACGACTACACTTTCATCAAGTCTGTCTTAAAACCCTATGACACAGCTTTTGGACGTTGTAATATTTGTGTCCTGGGATTCCTTTGTCCGGTGTTTTCAATGTAAGTGATGGAGAACAAGATCCATCCTCCTTATTCTGTTGCAAAATAAATTCAGAAGTTCAGCTGAAGCTTAAAATAAGTCCTGATTAGACACATTCACAAGTTACAGTTGTTTATTTTCTTGCTGCAGTTGTTGGGTAGTAACACTTTAAGGGAATCCTTTATTCTCAAACAAGGATATTCAAAGACATTTCCCGGCAATAACCTTTTACAAATCACAGGGGGAATTTGGGATTAGTTTTCAGTGTACTTTTTATGCAGATATCCTCGAATGTCTGGTTTACATCTCAGTGTACCTGGACTCAGACATCTAAATCATGCTGCTCAGTTTAGATGAGGTCGTACAGGGCAGCTCTCAGGTGAGAAGTATGTGAGAGTAAAGCAGGGCGGTGCTGAAAAGTCCAGGATTGTCCTGTCAGCCCAGCCTGAGTAAATAATCTAAGCAGGCCTTGTTTTTCCAGGTGTCAGAGTGTGGTGGAGGTGGGGGAGAATGCGTTGATGTTGCCAGGTGAAGCTATTGTCGTCACACAGATTAATGCATCATGCAATTTACCGTTTGGACTGTGATGCTAGGCTGGCGGATTTAACCATGACTGGTTGTCTGGATGAAAAGGAGAACAAAGAGTTACAAAAAGTGTTACAATGCAGTTATGCTTTAAAGGCCCCCTATTATACTCTTTTTCATCAATATATTACAGGTCTTAGGTAGATACAAAACATGTCTCTGAAGTGTTTGGCTTGAAATACCAAACAGATCCTGCATTGCAGGATCCCATAATCCCCTCTGTTTCAGTCCTGTTTCAAAAGTGCTGATTCTGTGTCTGTTACTTTAGATGAAAATAAGGAGCCACTCCCCACGCCCCTCTGAGAGATATTTGGTTAAAAATAACACACTGGTGCTTTAGGAGGAGATTCAGGTGATAAGGTGGGGGGGTTACCTTGGTTGGTGATTGGCTAATGGTTACACAAGCCAAAAAATCGTTATAACATCATAAAGTGGCCAAAATATGATCAGCTCACTTTCAGACAGGTTTTTATATAAATGGATCAGGACAGAAAGAGAGAGAACCTTTGTTCCTGAAACTTTCGGAATCTATTTACACAGAGGGGACACATGTTTATGTATGAAAGACATGGAAAAGTGGATTTTGCATAATAGGTGACCTTTAAATACTTTACATTTTTTTTTAAATGTTCGCTGATCAAGAGAAACAATGGGAAATGTAAACCAAAAATAATAATAATAATAATAATAATAATAATAACAATAATTACTTAAACTAATATTCAGATTTGTATGACTTTTTCTATCTGATTATTTAGTTGTTTAACCCTGTGTTCATGTGTTTTAACTGCTTAATAATTTAGTGGAAAACTGAGATTGTTGTACATATGTGTGTTGTGATGGAAGAGGAGCTGACAGGAGACTGACTTTGACAGGTGCATGCACACACACACACACACACACACACACACACACACACACACACACAGCGGGAGAGAACAGAACAGAAGGGTAATGCTGTTACCAGAAATAGCTCTTGTTGAATAAAGGAGAGTAGAAAGAGTGTGTGACAGTGTGTGTTGGATTGTTCATCCAGTCAGTCTTGTTTGTGAGGAACCACTAGCAGCTCGTTCCTCTGGGAGTCTGGGTTTGGTTCAGCAGCAGTTTTCCCAGGGAACAGGTCAGTAAGGATAATTTTAGCGGGTAAATTCGGTGTGGTATCTTTGGCGAAATAAGATCTTAAAAATGTTGGGTTTGGCCCGTGGGACATTGCTTAAACTTGAATGTGTTTCAATAGAATCTTATGCACATAAATGTGTTGATTGAGTTGCTGTAAAACAATTTCTTTTGGCGTAGATGCCTTAGCAGCAAGACATGTCATAACAAAAAAGGAATCTGTTCCTCTTATGATGTTAGTAGTTTCTGTTTTGATGCTCTGTACAAAGAGTGGGATGAATGCCCCTTATGCCTGAGTTAGTGTGTGTGTCACAGCGGCACACAGTGAATAAGCTGACATCATTCATGCTGTGTGTGTTCATGGTCAGAGCCTGTGAGTTTTCTTATTTCTAGGGGACAGAAAACCACCCAAGCTGACAGTTCACATTTAAAAACACCTTTTTTTGAAAAAACCCTATGATGTGTTTACATAGTAGTGTGAACTAGGATATAAAGTAATAAATGCAAAACTCAGTACCTCATATTTTCTTTAGTGGGTCAGGTAGTTGTTGTTCTGCTTGTTTCATTTAGTACATTTTGTAAGCGATAGGTATTTTCATCATCTGGCTGGTTCGTTTAAGTCCTTATACACTTGTACACATTATACATGGCCTATTCTTAACCTTTTAAAGCGACTAAGATGATTTCATTGACTTGTTAAATGTGTGTTGTGGATGATCTTTTTCTATGTGTTTTTTACTAACTGATGGCCTGGTTTTTATGGTGAGCCAATACAATATTTCCAACCTGGTGGACATAACTACAATATGTGTTAATGATAAATACTAAATGTTAATTTATGCTGTAGGTGGTCACAGAGACAACACTACTTATTTCTCCCAGTTCTTCTTTTTTTATTTTCCAGTGCTAGATCAAAAATCAATTCAACAAGGTACCAGTACTGTTTTGTGTTTGATCATCTTGTGTATTTGTTCTCTTTTCCAGCACTATACTAGAGGAGGAGAAGCTCCAGCAGAAGGAGAGGAGCAGGATGGAGATGAGGAGGCAGGTCACTGTATCTTGGGACTCCGGAGGGTCTGATGAAGCACCACCAAAAGTAAGGCACCACCACACCACATGTTTGTGTCTCTGTCTGTGTGTGTGTTTATGTTGGTATGAGTGCAACAGGTGTAGTAATAAAGTGTCTGTTGTGTTTGTACTGTTGGCAATGAGACGCCCTGATCATTGTGACCCATGCTCTCTTCCGTTAGCCTCTCCATGTTGAGTTGGTGACATATTTTCTGTTGTCTGTTTTTGCTGCATCACACATGATTGTGACTGTTCACCATTTAATATCGAGACATTGAAATGATTCAACTGGTAACTCTTTGATTTAATAAGTCCTCTAGTTTGAACATGCAAGGTTTCTGCAGAACCCCTGTAGCGTTAAATTATTTCTGAAGTCAGTTGTAAAATATGGTTTTCTTACTTTGAACAAATAGGAAACTATACATGTTAATGGGTTCATGCTTTTGAATCACAACTTTTCAAGGAATGTTTGATGCATGTAGTTAAAGTTCCATATTATAGGGGAAATGCGCTTTCACACAAATAAGCAAATGTGGGTCCATTGACTCTGGCCTTTTGCAGCATTGAGATGTTTTTGATCAATTGAATATGTTTTATCTGAAAACCTGATGTTTTGACAGAATGTAGGCATTTCTTCTTGTGATCACGTATTATGGTGATCTTGCAGTGGGAAGGTTATTGTTCATAAAAGATTCTAGTATATTAGAACAAGGGACAGATATTTGATTTGTGTTATATACATATGTATGCACTGGATCGGTTATCTTACTTTTATTTTTTTATAAAAGTAAACCATTACTTTCAAATGTGTAATGATGGTCAGTTTCCTGAAAAAAATACATGTACTTCTTAATTTGTTCATAATGACCACCCCCACTGGCGCCATCCCAACTCACAGCTTGTTTCCCCAGCTGCTGGGTGCTTCTCCCTCTCATGCTGCCCCCCCCCTCATGCCCCTGCTGTTAGCATCTGCTAACTGCTACTCTTGGTCATAACTAAAGCCATATGTGTTGCAGAGTAGTTTTAGGATTGAGAGAGTTGCTAGTTTAATCATAGTGTTTTTTCTTGCAGGTTTTAGTAAATGCTGCATTTTGTTTCATTGAGAACAACATTAATGTAAATGCTCTGCTTGGAGGGAAAGGTTTTTACTTGTGTTTGTAAAACATGTTATGCCCTTCAGAGGCACACTTGCTGTATGGCTTTGGTTACAGTCTTGGCTTCAGCTCTTCCCTGTCTGTCTCACCTGTCTACTACATATCTCTATCTTCTATGATACCTTTTTTATTTCCTTGTGTTCGTCCTCTACCCTTGTCTATCTTTTTGCAGCCCAGCCGTCGCCCCTCCCTGCAGCCCACCTTCAGTCTGGACTGTCTTTCTGCTCCTTCACCTCTCCACCATTGCCATCAAAACCAGCGCTCTGCCTCACAGCTTTCCCTCTGCCTTGGAAACCCTCATCCTTCGTCTCCCTTCACCTCTTCTCACCTACCCGCTCCTCCGCTCTACTTATCATCTCTGCAATTTCCCCCTCACTTTTCCTCTGCTCCCAACCCTCAGCCTCAATCACTTCCTTTTCAAAACTCCACTTTCTACAATCACTCTTTCTCTCAGCACAACAATAAGTTGAACCCTGAATCCAAACCCGGCTTATCCCTACGGTCTCATCCTAACTTCTACTTTCCACCTCACAACAGTTCAGAGAGCTGGTCCAATGGCAGCTGTCCACACAAGACAAATCCCCCCACTAACGGTCACCTGCTCTGTTCATCCCAGCCAAAGTCAAACATCTCCCATCCCTGGCTCTCCTCCCCACTCCTCTCCCAATCAAGTCCTAACTTAAACTCTCTTCCCCGCAGCCTGTCAAATATGTGTCCCCACACCATCCAAAACATCCAGCCAGAGTCAAATTCTAATCCTAAAACCCTAACTCTGCCGCGCAGCTTTCACCCCGGCTGCCAAACTAATCCCAGCACTCCATTACAAACTGACTTTGACCCCCAGCACCAACACCCTGCTGTGCAGTCATGTGGGAGGCCCCCGCTCGTCTCTCCTGCCCCCCTAACTCTTCCATGTACAGCGAGACCCTCTGCCTGCTCTCTGTCCTCCGCCCACCACCATCCACCCAGTCGAATGCCACGCCTCCCTGTAGCTACCAACACAGCTTTCCCCATCCCCTGCTCTGAAAGACACACGAAGGCAGGTGGTGTACTGTTAACCTGAGCTAAAGCTGTTTTTATAACTACTAAAAAAAGGTTGCAACATTCAAGAGTGTAGCCCCTTTGATGAATATCCAAGGGGAGAAATTCCAGATTCAAATAATTGATTACAGACTGCTGATACATTGAATGGATTAAAAATGGCCTCTTTTGTATCTGTAATCTATTTAACATTACTTTACATTATATTATCCAAAGTGACTTACTGCATTCAACCATAAAGAACCAAAACTCAAAAGCAAGAATCTTGAAATTAAATTTCCTATCAATCAATTTTTTTAAGGGATTTGTTATTAATTATGTATTCTTGACTACATAAGCAACGTTTAAAATTCAGAATAAAGACGTTCTTAGGTATTATTTATTAAAAGTATCATTTGGTGCGTCACTGCAATCAGCCCCTTGACTTTCCTTACCTTCTCATTTCCTTCTTTATCTTTACCACATTCGGTCCAAAAATAAGCCCAGTGTGAACTACACATATTTTAAGAAATGTTGCAACGGTTTTTGCTGGATGAATCAACAAACGCAAACTCATTTGTGAATCGTTGAATTGTACTGAGTGCAGTGGTTTTTAAAACAATGCTTGACAACACCAGTGACTTTTAAAATGAGCATGTTTTTGCATGACATGTTTTATTTGTGTTGGACATGCTGCTGAAGGTCCTCTGTCGTGATTGAATGTAGTTTCAGATATTTATGTTTGTGTCAGGCATTGTGTTGATGTGACCTGGGATTAGTGTAACCTATTTCTGGCCTGTTCAGGGTGCCCCACATCAATCCTAAATCCTGTGACCAACAGTCAGACACCTCGCACACACGTAGGACTTAGATACAGTAAATCATGGATAAGCCAGAAGACAAATATGCATATCATTTATCTAAACTACCTTTAACCTGCTTTGACATTTCAATCAAACTAAAATGACATAGAGCAAGGTAAAAAAAAAAGTGAAACACTTTTCTTTACACTAGGGGGAACCCAAAGTCCAGAACTAATGCTGCTGTAATTCAACAACTTTTCCACTCCACAGGACCGGGTCTCCTTGTAAAGGAGGAAAGCTATAACCATTTGATATAGTTGAACTCGTACTACATTCTGTTTTGAATTAAGTCAAATTGAAGTTTGTAATCATTTGTGATGGCTAGGATAAACAGTTACTATGAATACACTCTAAGAGTTACCTCAAGGTTCTGTCTTTACCAGCCTGTTTATTCAGAGCTGGCTCTCTGTCACCTTGACCTCTGGCCAGTAGTACTACACATGAGTTTGTTTTGGTAGGTGACCCTGTTTTTGGAAGGAGCGTTTAGTCCTCCCACTGAGCTGTAACTTCACCCTACCTCCTACATGGAAACAAGTATTACTTTCAATGTTAATAAAGTGTTTAAAACACACTTTCATGTTAACATATAGGAAATACTGCTAAAATCAAAGATATTTCTGGTACCATAGGAGATGGAAACATAACAAAAATAGCTGCATAAAATAAGATGTGCCTTTAGTCAATGTTCTGTTTGGCCCTTAGCTGAATAACATGTTAAATCTTTACAACAGCTGGAATAAATTCCTGTTGTGAGTCTGTTTTCTGATGATGGATGAATGTGTGGGAGTCGATGAATTGTGCCCCAGAGTGATACATGAAGTCAAAAGAAAACCTTAATTACATTGTGCTGCTCAACATACTTAAAATTCTTCCTAGAGTTATGCCATGGGTCTACATGTTAGTAACAGCAGTATGTGTCTCACAACAACAAGTTAATTTTGAAAGGAATCGCAATTACAGTCTACAAAATATACTGCCCTGAAATAGTTAAAATGCTCAAGATAATGAAAAATAGATTTTCTTTTGTCAAGCGCCGTGTTTAAAAACAGTTTCATAAAACCCCAAATATAAGACACAATGGAAACTTTAATGTCATCCATCAAAATGCATAACTAAATTCAGTTTCCTTTGTCCCAGTGCACAAGAAAACAACATGGTGTGCAAACAGAAAAAGATTAAAGAAAATAGATTGTAAAAAGATAAGTACCAGTACTCTAAATATAAATACAGGTTGCGTAAGTGATGCCTTTTATCTGGTAACATTGACCTTTCCCTACACAAAATGTGTATTTTAAAGTAGTCTATTTGTCCCACATAACTGTGGATTAAGATGTGTTGTGGCAAGCCATAGATATACATTTTGATCAGATGCTGAAAATACACCCTAAACTGACGTAGTGGTAAAAACAGGGACCCCAAACTCAGCTATCAAAAAAGGAACCGTTTTTCAACATTGCATTATTTATTTATTTATTTAGTCATTCATTCTTACATTCAAATATTCATCCAAAGTGGAACAGATAGTTACCCATAGCTGTCTTACCCTAGTGCAACTACTTCCTCATTAACCTTCCTATCTGTCTGTCGTCCCTGTGTTTATTTTGCCCTTTTTAAACTGGGTATTCCCCGGTAAACCTCCCTCTACTTGGATAGATTACCACAGGCCTGTGAATCAGTTTCGGGACGATTTAAGATATCATTTTGTTCTTGTGAAGGAGCCCTGTGTCCTTTCATGTGTGAACATGTTCACACCATGCTGTACGTTTCCCTCTGTCTGCCGCTCTGTTTGTCTGGTCTTTAGTTTCTCTGTCTTGTCTGCTTCTCTATGTCCTCCCTCCCTTCCTACTGTTTTTCCTTTTCTCTCCCCTTCTCTCCCTCCCTCCCCGTCTTTCTCTGCTGTCTGTCTCCCTCCCTGTGTGTCTTTGTGTCTTGTCTTGCTGTCGGAGGTGTGGTCCAGAGAAAGCTACTATGAGAGCCTGTGGAAGGTAGAGGTTACATCACTGCTGTGCTAATGAGCTCTGTGTTAGAGAGGTTTAATCATAAAGAGAGGGGAAACTGCTCATCAACTTTCAACAGCTTCATCACAACAAATCACCAGAAACCAAGAGAAGCAACAAGGGTGTGGGTTCACCAAGCACTTCTGTTTTTAGCTACTAGCCCGATGCAAAGAAATACAAATCAAATAGAGACGAGAAGCCGACTCACGCTCCTCTTTAACCATCAGTAGTTGGCACAAGATAGTAAAACAATTTCTTATGTTTTACATTACTTTTTAACCTTTTCAACACAAATACTTCCAAATAAGAAGAACAACTGTGCTTTAAAGAGAAGTCTTTGGTGAACTTGCAACCATAACACCTCGTACACTCTGCATCACATCTAACCACAGACCCCAGGGATGAGTAGAACAGGAATATCACATACTTTATAACAATAATCCTTGGATTTCATTGTTTGTAACATAGGGAAACTATGTAGTGCCATTTCGACTAACAGCTTGCTGGACTTGCAGCCCAGTGGGTGTTCCCTTTGTTTTGATTGACAGCTAACCCAGCCACACAAACAGCACCGAGGGGTTTGTGTGTGGATTGACTGAATGACCCCGGTGTCCCGTCCTCTAACGTTTATCTTGGGGAAACGATGAACAAGTGTTCTAACTGTGTTATTGTTTTTTCCCCCCGTCTTTTTTATTCCTCTCTCTCTCTCTCTCTCTCTCTCTCTCTCTCTCTGACTGTAGCCTAGCAGACCAGGATATCCTAGTCCTCGCTCCAGTGAAGGTTTTTATCCCAGTCCCCAACATCCTGGACACTACCAGGTACGCCAGTGCCAGAGACTGTGTATATAAAAGTAACATTTTATTGGGATATAAAATAGTAATGCACCCATATTTAATACTACCCAGCCAGTTGTTTCAAAGTACCTCATATCCGCTCTGCATTGACAAACTACATCGTTTTTTATTCATTTAAACAATATAATATTGTATTCTATAATAATTTTAAACTTTTGAAAGAGACGTTCTGCATACTACTTTTTACTTTTACTTAAATTATAATTTGCTCAAAATACTTTCTTTCTTTAGTACCATTTCGAATTCAGGACTTTAACTTCTAAAGGAGTATGTGTAGAGGATGGTCTTTATACTTTTACTTAAGTAAAGGATCTGAGTGATTTGTCCACCACTTATAACATTGAAAGATATAATGTATAGCACATTTGAAAGGATTTAAGGGTGCTAAATGACCTATAGTTACTAATAACAAAGGTGAAGATGTAATCAAAAGAGAACTGAAAACCGGCTAACCGTGTGTCTTTCTCTCCGTCCTCCCTCTCTGGATCAGATGGCAGGATACCCCGGCCCTCACACCCTCCCCTCGGTGCCCAGCGCCCTGTACCCGCCACAGGCCACCATGCTGGACACACACCACGCGCACACACACCCCCGCCACCACGTCCACACACACTCTCAGCACCTTCCCGTTCCGCATGGACACGACATGGCACTATGGGGCTCAGCGATGGAGGTAGGAGACTCATGTTACACTCAAACACTAACACATATACACACGGGTAAATTAAGAGGATACAACTTAAACTCACACAGATTTATTATTTTTGGTTAAGACACAGCAGGTTATTCATCTAGCTTGCATTCATTACCCCTCAATGACAGGAACAAGGTATTTTATAAAGCTGTTTTTGTTTGTTATTTAAAGGTATATCATTTTCAAGTGTTAACAGTCATACAATATTGAATATACCAGTCGAACGCTTAAAGATTAAAAATTATTAGGATGATTTTACATCCTCAAAAGACATAGTGAATAAAAAGCCCTACCTGCATAATGAGTCCAGGGCACACATTTACAATATTATATTTAAATGTTCCTATTCTACGGCCCATTTACACCCATTATTTTCAGTGTGTGTCCATCATCTCAGTTCAGCCTCTCATCTGTCTGGTGTATGTGTCTGTGTGTGTCCCTGTGTTGGTGTGCACGTCTGTTGCTATGCTTGTCTTTTGTTGCATGCTTGTACTGTGTTTGTTTGTGTCGGTGTGTAGGACAGGGCAGTAGACATGCAGCAGTGTGTAGGCCAGCAGTGCCTGTTTATGGAGGAACAGCTGATGATACAACAACAGCAGATGGAGGAGGACCAGAGGTGGCTGGAGCAGGAGGAAAGGCTGCTGGTAACACTCAGAGCACTCACATTGGAAAACACACTCTCAGACACACATATACTAAGAATGTAACGGTTCATTTAACATAAGATTTAGTTTGATACACTGAATTCTGTCAGCATTAACTTCAGAGGCAAGTAAACAAAGATTTAGACAATGTCATTCAAGTTTATTATAAGACCATTTCGATTTTTTCTATTACTACTTCAAATAAATGTAAGATCAGATGCATCCTTTTTATTATAAAACAATGGAGGGTACGTATATATATTTCATTGAAAAACGGTAGAGTATAGTGAATGGCTACATTTTTAATATCCCTAAGTATTTTTTGTTAGATATTGTTGTGCATGGGGAAGTGTTGTTGATGCAAAGCTTTCTCTCTTATTTGCCATCCTTGACTTGTCAGTTGTGCTGTTGATTCTTTTAATTTAAGTTCCATGATGCATGTTGTTGTGTTTTTGTACATGTGTTAATGGACTCTCTGGAATACATCACATGCTCCTCGAGGACAATCACATTTCCATACATTTGATAAATATAGAACAAACTAAAGTCATTTTGGAAATGAACATATCATTATGAGTTAACTCCCTCAGAGGTTACGAGTATTGCATTGCATTCCTATTGGAGCCAAAGCAAGACAATAATCTGTGACCAGACACCGACTTCATTTGGATACGCTGTTATAAAACATGTTGTAAATAAGACATACAACATTTAGTGAAAAAACATCAAACATATGGTACATTCAAACGACCTCGGGAAAAAACATATCTAATAGTGTGTGTGATTCTCAGCACTATGGTTTTACATACATACATTATTACAGCTAACTATTCTAGTAAAATTATCATACAAGGCAAAATGAATGTAGTGTGTATTGCTGTCTGATGGAGCTAGTTGCTTCTGATGGAGACCCTCTGACAAAAAGAGGGGGAGGTGAAGGAGAACGATTTCATGTAGGATGCATTTTTCTGTGAACACTGATTGAAGGATCTCTGGGGTTTTAGTATTTTATTGTACATGCTTGAGAGGGAGAGAGTCTGAAGGCAGGTGTGGCCTGTGTGAATTCCAGGCTAATGATAGGCTTAGACAATCTGACAGCCCAGTCAACAGTCTGTCTTTGACCCACAACCACTAACTGACAACACACAAGATTACTGAAAAGCTAGGAAGGCGTATATTTATGTGTGTGAGTGTGTGTGTTGGAGGCTGGCTGGTTTTTATAACACTGTCACTTCAGGGAGGGGCGAGAGAGAGGGGGGAGAAAGGGAGGAGAAAACAGAATAGTTTGGGAAAGAAGGGTGAAGATGTGCACTTAGACTATGACGGCTGCTTGGCAGCGTGCTCCATCCCTCCTCCTCTCCTCCTCCTCCTCTCCTTCCCTCTCTCCATGCGTCAGATATAAGTGTGTTGCAGGCAGGAAGCTGGAGTTATATCTGAATTCATGTCTTGATGAAACTACTGGCACAGTCATAGAGGCACAGAGAGAGAGAGAGAGATACAGTAAGATCAGAAGCTGATAGCAACACAGACGCAATAAATCGGACACAAACGCTTCATCAGACAACTTTGATGAACTCAAGGGCAATGCTGGTCTTCAAGTCCTGTCTTGGAAAACTGGTAGGCGTAGACCGTGTGAAAGTTGTGTGTGGGGGATATTTGTGTGTTTTATTTTGGCGTTTTTTCTAGGGATTTTTGTCAACCTCAAATGTTTTACTTAAATTGGAAAAGGCTTGTTTGTCCTGCACTTTCGGATCCTGCAGCTTTGTACAGTATGTATGCGGAGACTTTGTTTTGGATGCATAAGTTAGTACGTTTATTTTGAATGTGAGTTTCACTGCTGTGTTTCACTCATTCATTTTCTCATTCACATAATCATTGTAACACTTCAGATTCAACTTTGATTTCAAGAGCTGGGAGTCACTTTCTCCCTTTTTAAAATATCAAAGTAGAATATAAACTGTCTTTTAATTATTCATTTAAGGGTGTTTTTACCTCCATTTAGTCTTTCACTATAAAGGCTGTACATGGCAGTTTTTCGATGGGATTTCTTTTTTATTTAAATGCAAGATGACTTCTAATCTACTGGTTTAAGTGACTCAAATTGCACCGTATACTGTATTGCACCAGTCTTACGACTGCATGTGATTTGGAGCTGGTGGCATGCCATGAAAGGGTATTGGTCATAAAAAACTCCCAGGAATAAAACTGCAATACTTCCTTTGAATACACTCAAATAAAAGCAATGTGACTTAGTGTCAATTGGAAAAACAATTTCCTAAGTGTTAATATAGAGCTTTGAATCTGCCTTGTTTAATATCTAATTGATGTAAAACCAGTCTAGTGCTTACTGTAGTTACTTGAATTTTGTAGATTTATTTTTATGTTTATTTGTTTGTGTGTTTAGAAACCAGACTCTAGAAGCTCTAGAGGGAGTCTAGACAGAGAAGACGGTGGACCTCAACCACCGGTAAGTTACTTTCTCCATCTGATTTCTCCATCCAGCTCACTGTTAGTTGGTGTTATTTATGCAGGCAGCGGGACAATAACAGTCATTCACACAGAAACATTTTGACTAGAAGGAGTTAATATTTTTCCCCTTAACGAACTGTGCCTCACATCCTTCTAATTGTTACTGTCACCCTCATGACCATTTGTCACACATTAAAAAGGGAAGTGATTTTTCTTAAGGGTTTGTGTTTTTAAGAGAGAAGGATGCCTGATAACGATAAATGTTGACGGAAGTCCACATTCTGGTTGGACTCACTGTGATTGGCTGTTTGTTTGGATTAGAGCTAGGGGGCATTGATCCAGGGACAGGAAGTAACCTGTCGGGGGCGGGGTCACTACAGAGGGGTCAATGAATTCCCACAATATCACCAGTTATTAATAGGGCACTGTTGCAAGAAAACAAGTCGCCATCTTTGTTCTTCTTTCTATCCCAGTGTTACTCCCAGCACCTCAGCATGCTGGCAGTCTGTAGTCTCTGCTAAAGAATATCCACACTCTTAAGAGCGTCAAAGTACCATGAGAGGACAATATGGTGGATCTTGTCTTATCTTTGTCTTGCAGCTGCAGCTAAAAATATGAGTGCCACTTTAACTGGATGTAGTTTTCAATACTTAGTTTCTTACTTAACTTGCTTGCTTACTTTATAACGTACTTACTTGGAACACTGTTTTCTTTGTCTTCAAGCTTTACTGCATTAAAATAATCACTAGCTACAACCTCAGTATGATTGTGTTCAGACCTGCTACAACATCAGTGTTTGTAAAGGAAGACAAAAAATACGTTTCGTGGCCTTCACTTAAGAGATTAGCACAGTTATTTTGTTGAGCACTGCGGTGTAACTGAATGATTTGCAGTGACAGATGCACATTTTTCACTCAAAGATGTTTTTACTGGGCAAAACATAATGGTGATCATACCTTTTAACACAGATGGTATTAAAAGTAACTCCATCTCTTTCTTCCCTCCTGTAGTCTTGTTTATTTTAGATCCTCAGTCATCAGTGTGTTGCCCTTCTGCGATTACGTTTTTTCTCCTAAAACAAAATAGTTTTGTCGATCAGAGCTTTATTGTTACTTTATCCCAGAGTTGGAATCACAAGAGCTGAGAACACAGCTGTGTTTTTGATGCCAGCAAAAAAAAAACGTTGTTTTGCCACGGGCCAGATATTTCTGTCTCTGTAATTCATCTCTCTGCTTGTCCTCCTCCCATTGAATGGCTGTGGTTTGTGGTGGTAAATTGTGTGTGTGTGTGTGTGTGTGTGTGTGTGTGTGTGTGTGTGTGTGTGTGTGTGTGTGTGTGTGTGTGTGTGTGTGTGTGTGTGTGTGTGTGTGTGTGTGTGGCGACTCCCTGGAGGTATTATAACTCTTTCTTCCCTTCTCTCAAAACTTCACGGACTCAGTGCTAGGCTATCACCTCCGCTCGCTGAAGAGTAAAGGATGGTGGTCAGGAGGCGAGGCCTCCTTTTATACGGAAGTGAGATGCGCACGCATTCAGGTAGGCCCGCCCCGGGGCCGGCTACGTCCATAGAAATCTCAGTAGGTGAATGCTTGCATGATAAGATAGTACCCATAGAGTCCAATAGAGGGCGGAGCCTGTGAGAGATATAACATGGAAAACTATTGGCAAATACAGCCATAATTTGCTTTAGGTCTTGTATAATATTTCCTAATTTGTGAGAAAGCTAATGAATCAAATCAAGTCTTTTAAGTAAATCAGGGAGTGCAGATTGCAGCTGGTTGATTCTTGTGTAGTAGTATTAGAGGGTTACCAAAAGGTTTGAATAAGAATCCAGGCTAATGGAAACATTGAATGCTAGTGAAACCTGACATTTTTAACACATCTATTTTTCTTTTCATAGGTCATCATCAGTACACAGCTCATGTCAGGAGACCCCTGTTTTAAAACGTAAGTTAAAGTCATATTTTTCAACTTGGTGCCAAATCTGATTCGCTCTGCTGTTCAAACTGTATTCCTACGTCAGTCAGTGTTGGTGTCTGAGATTCACTTTTAATTAGAATATAATTAATTGCTTCAACCTCTTGGAAACAATAAATGGGAATCAAACAATCCCGAAATGTGCAAGTATAAAGAACTGTTGGTACATCAGGCCCTTCCATGTCAAACACACTGACTGATTTCATCGTGCAATACAGTAATTATAATGTTAAGTGTCCTAGTATAAATTGTAGAAATAAGATTTTTTTGTAAAGGTCTGTGTGTGTACAGAAAGGAAAAAGCTGCCAAATGTTGACATAAAAATGATTCAGTAGCCGGAATGACAACAGCTTTATTTTCCTTCTTTGCAGCATGTATTTAAGTACAGAGTATCTGGTATGTGTAGTTTTGCTGAATGCTTAAATGTTATCAGCTAACTTAATCGTGTTGTACTTGATCAATCATGAATTTAACTCATTCATTTCCTCCCCACTTTTCTCCCTGTTTTTGTCTTTCTCACTCTCTCATTTGACTTTTAAACAATTGACACATTAAAATATACGATTCAAGAGAATAAAGGCTTATTTTGTTTTCCGTGTCACCAGGCCCCCCTCCACAGCCACAGTGATCGGGATCCAGGGTGATGGAGAGAGCCTGCTGGAAGAGAGGAGAGGAGGCGACTCACAGAAAGGATGTTCTGGTGAGACAAATCACGCCACATTACACTCCTCAGCCCTGCTCAGCCATCCCATTGGCTTTCTCAAACGTTAGCAGGCCCCTGATGGGAGTTCTGGGTTCTAATGTGTATATTTGTTTTGGCGGTTTCTTAAATGTCACTGGTAGTTAAATTGCAGGTTGTTTTTAATATTATTCAGACTCAGCTCTCTATGCTTAAGCTTATTTTAAATGTTGATAAAACTAAGGTAATGCTATTTTCAAAAGCCAAAAAGATACCGGAGACCACTTTGGATATTGTCACTACGCAGGAAAAGTACTTGAAGTGGTTACCTGTTATAAATACCTTGGTATCTGGCTTGATAATTGCCTCTCTTTTAAACTTCAGGTCAATAACCTGCTTAAAAAGCTGAGGGTGAAGCTAGGTTTCTTTTTTAGAAACAAGTCCTGTTTCTCATTTGAAGCCAGGAAAAGGCTAGTCACTGTGACCTTTTTACCTGTGCTGGACTATGGCGATTTGATCTACCGTATATGAATGCACCTGCCCATTACCTGATCAAGTTAGATGCCGCCTATCACAGTGCACTAAGATTTGTTACTAATTGTAAAGTACTTACTCATCACTGTACCCTGTATGCCAGGGCAGGTCTGCCTTCACTAACTGTTCAGAGGCTCAGTCATTGGTACATGTTCATCTATAAAGCCATGTTGGGTAAACTACCATCTTATATCTGCTCTCTGATCACACGGAGAGTTGCAAGTAGCTATTGCCTGATATCTCATGATGTGGTTTTGTTACATGTGCCAAGTGCTAGGACTGACTTAGGTAGGAAAGCTTTTAGGTGCGCAGCTCCTCTTGCTTGGAACAGTCTGCAAAAAGAATGGAAACTGAGCAAATGGTTCCACTGCATGTTTTTAAAGCTCGGATAGATGCTATGCAATCTGATACTGTTGGTACCTGTCATTGTCGATAGGTTTGTAAATTGTAACTATGTTATATGATGTCCCTTTAGTTTTTCTGTTGTTTTATGTCTTCATGTGGAACCTACTTGCTGCAGGTCTCCCTTGAAAAAGAGATCGATGATCTCAATGGGATTCACCTGGTTAAATAAAGGTTTAAAATGAGAGACAGGTAATATGGGATAATACAGTAGGGGACTGACATGAAGCAAAGGTCCAGCCAACTACGAATCAAACCTAGGACTTGCTGCTGGACTGGTGGGTCAACCATTTTTGTACGGTATATGTTTAACAAATACCGTAACAACCTGACTTTTAGCTGACCTTCCTTCCTTTAATATGTTAAGCTCATGCTGATAATCGGTGTAGATTTACATTGGATTGAAACAGACATATCCATAATAACCTTCAGGAGAGCCTAAATATTCCTCCTTACCCTTTCACTTGAAATCAAAAGGTTAAATCTAATCTTAGATTAGATCCCATCCACATAGCTGTCTAAACTCACTGCTCATGACGAGTACATTTCTTCAACATCATCTCATCGTTGTCGTGTGGATTTCCGGGAAAGTTCTATTATGTGGCTTTGCAAGGGCACAAGGAATGGCAAGGAAACACAACTTTTTATATAATTGTGTACTGCAATAATAATGTGTATTTATCACAATATCCCACGCCACCCTGTTTACCTTAAACTGCTCTACATAATTTTTCTGTGGAAAGATCCAACCATGCTTTATATGACAGCTATTTATCACCCACCCATCGAGCATGATACAAATAGTTCTTATCCAGCTAAATTTCCCTCCCCAGTTTCATCCCTCTTGCTCTTGTTCTGTGTGTGTTTCTCCATGTGTGAAAAGTTGCAATGTTGTTCCTCTTGCAAGTTTCAGAGTGTAGCGCGGCTATTTCATGTATTATTTAAACTAGTTCTCTTTGAGATTAGCTACAATCTGCTCCGACCCTGTAGGCTCTTACATGGTTAAAAATAGGAGTGTTTGCAATTCTGTCTATGGGGGTTGTGTGTTAGCATCCGCAGACCACGTGTGTATTGGTCTGCTGAGATGCTCTTTCACATCAAACTCATCGTGTCTCTGTAGATCAGGGCTATTCAATTAGTTTGGAATGGGGGCCGGTTGATGAAAATGATCCAAAGCAAGGGGCCGGGAAAAAGATGGCTTGAAATAAGAGCTTCAGATACAGTAAATTAAACAGCATAGTGGAGTGCATATATTGTGTTTAATTAAATCAAACAACATAGCCCCAAGGCCTTTATAGATCTAAATGGCAAGTTCAAAACTCAGTACATGTGAAGCTAATTTAACCATCAACATAATTTAATTTGATTTAATTTAGGTGAAATTATCTAATCATTCACGCAGATGTAACACCCTCTCTGGAATAAAGGCTCTCTGGCCCAAAAGAAAATCTTTAAAAAAAGAAAAGAAAAAAAAGTAGATTACTTTTTAACATTATACTCAAAGGGCCAGTAAATATCACCCGGGGCCAGATTTGGCCCGCGGGCTGCCAATTGAATAGCCCTGATCTAGAGGAAGTGAATGGGCAACCTTTTTTGATTATGAAGAAATAGTTTAAGGTGTTTATTTTAGCAAAATCTGATTTTCAAATGTGAGGAATCACTAGTCACTAGGAATGTATTATTTGTGGTAAAAACTCAACTTTAACAACGTCACATTTCGTTTTCATAGACTTGACTATAAATTGATAATGAAAATGTTTTTCAGTTGGAGATCCAAATACCAGTTTGTATGAGTACGAACTCATACAGTAGCTGGTTGTTCCCTCAGAAAGAGCTGCTTAAGAAAGTACTATTTGTCCAGTAGTGGTTTGGAGACTGTGAAACTGTGAAGAAGAAGAATTTTCACTTTTATATATCGTTTCCTGCAGAGCATGCAGCTCCCCCAAAGAAGCCCCCCCGACCCGGAGCCCAGAGCAGTCTGGCCTGTCTAAACACCGGAGACAGCTACAACGATGGAGTCAAGGTACAGTAACACACAGATCAGAGCACACCTACATACTAATATAAAACTCACCTCAAAGGAGAGCACGCACAGACAAGGATACATTTACTAAATATATGGTTTGCATGTTTTTAATGCTTTAATATTTTCCTTTTATCTTCTTTTCCTTTGGCTGCTACCTCCTCCTCCTCTTCCTCCTGCACTCTGCCTTACTGTCGGCCTCTAGCCCTGGCGGGTAAGCAGCACACTGTCTGTGTGTGTGACTGTGCGTCTCTTCTGCTCGTCTGTCATGCCCATTTGATTCCTCTTTCAATCAAATCTTTGATCTCTCTGTCCAACAGATTGTTGTTGTCATATAAACACATAAACACATTTATCACCCAGTGCCAATTATTGTGTAAATACCAATCGGGTTTCTTGTTTTACTGGTTTTTTAACTCAAGCTAACATCCAAATAGTTTAGCTTGTTGTCTTATACTAATATGAAATTGTCCATTGTTTAACATTTTGAACAAAGGATGCACTTAGAATTCTTTTTCTACGCCATGGTGAAATACTTTGTCAGAGTAGGATCCAAAATAGTAATATAAATGAAAGAGAGATCCCTCCTCCTCTGTTTTAATTTTTGAAGTTCCTTCCTTCTTGTAGCATGTCTAATCTTAATGTTGTACACAAGAATCAGATAGTAGTATTTTTTCATTTTGTATTTATTAGAATTGTATTTGAAGTAGAAGCTGGCCATTATGTGTGCAAGATTCAGAGCTGTAGTGTTTTGGCAACAGGAGGTGTCTGAAACAGATAATGCAAAAGAGACATCCCTCTAAAGGGAAGAGGTAAAGGTAAACAAAACATGTAGAAAAACCTGCGTTAAGTTAATAGACTTATTTTGGTTCACAGAATTTCTTTTAGCAGTGCTGAAAATCTAATTCAGTAGCAGTTCAAGCAATAGTATTTGTCTTCACAATTTGAAAGTAAACAGATCATTTAGGGTAGAGCAAGGTCAAGGTTAAATGGACTCATTAGTTACGTATATTTATACCAGTGTGCTACTGCCATCTAGTGGCAAAAACAGAGAATTACAAGTATTTTGTTTCAGATCTAATATCTAATATCTTATCTAATAGTTCACCTATATTAGGGTTTGTTTTTTATTTTTAGCTTTTTATTTACTCAGATATTTAAGAAGTGTTTTGTCTTTCAATTTCTACCACAATATGTGCAGCAAAGTTAACCAAAGGCATGATTCATGTGTGTCTCTAAAATCATTCAGGATTTTTACATTTGTACAGACTCATATTTCTCATCATTGTTGTCTCAACTTGTTATCTGTGTGTCGATGCCTTCACACAGACCTGTGGGTGTTTTTTTTAATCACTCCGCCTGTGACTCATTGCTTCCTTTGTGCTCTCCTGGCTCAGCTGCAGCCTCAAGAGATCAGCCCGCCCCCCACCGCCAACCTGGACCGCTCCAACGACAAAGTGTACGAGAACGTGACGGGATTGGTCAAGGCTGTGATCGAGATGTCGAGCAAGATCCAGCCAGCTCCTCCAGAGGAATACGTTCCTATGGTTAAGGTAATCGAAGCCCTCAAGCTCTCATTTTCATATTCATCACTATTTCTCAGAGGGTCGCTGAATTTACAGTTTCACCCTCTTGAGCCGCAGACCTCTGCCTTAAAGATTTTAAAGTATTAACATATTGGTGCTTATTAATCATTTTTGATTCACCCGGTAACCAGACAACAGATCGGTCCTTTTAGCCTCACAAGAGGTTGCTTTCAGTTGTGGTATCTTTGCTTGTACTTAATGTATTTCTCCACCCTGGTTATCTCTATATGTGTAGGAAATATTACTTAAATTCTCATCTTAACCTGTTGTTTACTTAATCACTTAATCATATTTATTTTATATTTCTTCATATACATACAAGGTATATATATTTTTTAACACCATGTGAGTTGATTCACTTCCTAATGTTCTGTTTCGAAGGTATCATTTTAAAGTACTACGGTCTGTGTGTGTGTTTCAGGATGTGGGTCTGGCGTTGAGGACACTGTTGGCCACAGTGGATGAGACTCTACCACAGCTTCCAGCCAGCACACACAGAGAGGTAATTACACACTCTTGTGTATTTTTGTAAAACGCTTGAGTAGTTTGGTATCATTTATATTGGAATAGTATCATTAAACCAGATTGATACTTAATGATCTGGTTTTCTTCTGCAGATCGAGATGGCACAGAAGCTCCTGAACTCTGACTTGGCCGAGCTGATTGGGAAGATGAAGTTAGCCCAACAATATGTGATGACCAGGTAGCTTAACTAGTACAATATTGTATTAGTAATGCCTAGTAATGCAGTGCTTAATGATGACATCATGAAGTTGCTCCTAGTCTGCGCACTGGTGAAGCACACATTCCTGTTATGCCCTTTTTTATTATTTTTTTAAAATATATTTGTTTTAAGTCTTGTACATATTTATATTGCATTGTTTGAGATATCTGTAAACCAAGTTTTTATATTACACAACCTCACTGTGTATATGACATTAAAACCTTTGAACCTTCAACCAGCCCGAGTTAAATGGGGGCATAAACAGGGGGGAGAGACTATCCTCTATATGTCAATGTACTAACAAGACACAAACTTTAAACTTAAGCAATGGTGCAAAAGCTTCAGAAGCTTCCAAAATTAGTATCTGGAATGGAGGCACTTTAATAAAAAGGAAACTCATTATGCTTTTAGAGGACATATTTTAGAGGAAACTGTATAAACAGTGGCTTTAATATTGTACTAGTCTTGTCTCCCATTAGTTGTATCTGAATAAGTAATCTTTGAGTGTGTGTGTTCTTCTGCTCTGTCCCAGTCTGCAGCAGGACTATAAGAAGCAGATGTTGACAGCGGCTCACGCTCTTGCAGTTGACGCCAAGAACCTATTGGATGTCATTGACCAATCAAGGCTCAAAATGATGTCCCAGTCCCGCCCACACTAGCCCTACGACAGCTGAGCTGACCAACAGGACTTGGTCTATTATTTAAAAGAGAAGGCATCATTCTGGTAACTGTTATCAATGGAAAATTAGAGTTACGTCAAGTGAGAGTTATCGGAGCTGGCTGCTTTATGTCAAAGGAGAACGGCTCTGATCTTTGTCCATGAAGAATCATTAGATGTTGTATCCTGTGTAAGCCGAGGTCTTCTCTCCACCACTGTGACTTTCGTAACACAAGAACAGTGCAAATCACTTCCTGAATCAGGGACCTGGCAGCTTCGCACTCTCTGGACTGTAATATAATGATGAGAGGAGGAAAAGCAAAAAGGAGAAGATTTTAGAATTATGAGACTGAGAAGAGCCTGATTCCTGGGGTTCAAAGACCACCAACAGAAACACTATCATGGGATCTATTTGGATCTGGAAATGTTGACACCTGGTGAATTAGTCTTCGTCGGATAACACTCAAAGCCATCAGACCCTGATCAGACTGCGTTTGATCTGCACCATATCTGCATGAGCCGTCAGCCAGCAGCCATTATCAGTACATGTGTGGATATTGTGTGTTGTGACCCCTGGATGTGACATTTTTCCTTTGCTGAAATACCTCCACATCGCCTTTGATTCTTCTGAATGGGCACTTCCAATCACATGCTCAGCTCCCGGTGCTTTGGGTGGATGCAACAAGGACATTCACAGTAAAGACAGCGAAGGCTTGGTTTGGAGAAGCAGCCTCCATCGCTCCTCCCGTTTCTCTCCTCCATCCACTCCCGTCTTCCCTCCGTCTCACCAGGTTTTATTTATAGACTCAGACATTGCAGAGGAGGAGACGGAGGGAAAGATGGGTATTGAGGACAGTTCTAGAGGCGGTCTGCTGCCTGAAGAAGAAAAAACACACTTTTATCGTCTTTTTTCTCTATTTCACTCACTTCCTTTTGACTTTTTGTTATCACTGTTCCTCTCTTTCGTGACGTCTTCCTCAGCTCCTCTCTGAGCCGGTTTTTAAAGACTCCAAAATGTGAAGAATCCAACTCTGTCTGTGTAAACACCGCAGTCAGGAAACACCCGCCTCGCACTCAATTTAGTTTAGTCTTTTTATTAGCTGGCTCCATGTTTTACGTGTTCACAATCTTCTTCCTTTTTACTGAAAACTGTTTGTAACAAGCAGATATTCAATCCCAGCATTGACTCTGATGAGAGTTAAAACAGAAAATAAAGAAGGTGGATTTTGAGGATTCACTCTGAGTGACTTAATACTTCCAATTTGTCCTGGAGGCAGAAAAGGACATCATGTCTCAGACTAGTCACTGGGTGTCTCATCTCGTTTCTTCCTCCTCATCGACAATCCCAATTTCATTCAGTTCATCAAACAAGACTGGTGTCATGCTGTCCCCTCACCCATTGGTGTCACAAAGTGAATTTACTGGGGACACAAATAAACCTCACAACTGGAATTTCTGTGCTTTGAGTTTCGAAGTTACTGTCAGGTGTAACTCTTAAAATATGTTCCTCTGAAAACAATCCCCAGGGAAACACACACACACACACACACACACACACACACACACACACACACACACACACACACACACACACACACAGTGGAGCCACATGACTGGAACTTGTCTTGCAGACACAAAACACTGAACTGAAAAAACAGCAGCCCACACGTTGTGTCTTTGTTAATAGTGACCCCACATGGAGTATGACATAATTCTATATGAAATATACTGGTGGCTGTACTGGTATAGCATGATATACTGGTATGAAGAAGAGCATATTTGCACAGCCCAAAAAAAAAATATCGTACTTTTTTTTAACTCTATTTTACCCAGATTTGATCTCCAGGTTTAGGCAGCAATTAAACTGTCAAATATCTGGGTGTTATAGGGGTTGAAAAAAAGGTTAAAAAAACTATCTATTTTATCTTGTCGTTGCGTAAATCTGCTCATGTTGGTATCTTGTAAGCTATACTGGTGTGAACCACTGGTGAATTGTACAGAACTAGTAAACACTGGTTTTTATTTTGTCTTCTGGGCTACATCAGCCATCTTGTCAAATAGGAGGAGGAAAAAACAATGAAATAAAAAAAAATAATGACGAAATTGAAGTCAGATTGTCCACATTATTTTCCATTAAGAGGTTTATTTGAAAACGTTACATTTTAAGCTTTATATCTCCAGTAGATAAGATATATAGATGCATTTTCTTACTTACTTGTAAGTTCTACAGTGGGTTACTTTAAGTTATTTGAGTTGCCTTCAAACCTTGTATTCTAGACGTTTTACACAGATTTAAATGAATTGTAAAACCTGAAAATGTCCTTCTCTGGTTTCAAAGTTGCAATTTTGTATCAGGAATAGGAATTATTTGAAGTCTTTTATGACCAAAAATTAGAATTTGGTAATAATTGCAGTAAAGTTTTCAAAAGGGAGAATGAGGTCTTCCTAGAAAATTCTGCATATAAAATGTAAGGTTGCAGGCAAGACAAACTGCTGCATAGTTTATGACCCTCTGAATTCATTTTCCGAGCTGTAGTTTTGTAAGAATAGTACAGCCTGAAATTCCTCAGATTTCAAAGGAAATATATAAGAACCATATTGCATTATCTATGAAGGCTTTCAAATATATTAATCAGTATTCATAGGAAGGTCAGGATGTAATATATATGTTATACTTGTGAAGAAAGTCTTAATAAGAAGCTTTGTATGTTTAGAGCGTAACTCCAACTAAAGAGCATACATTACATAAAATCACTATTGAGACATAGACATGTATAAAAATACTTTTCTATACAGAGCAGCAGTGTAACTCCCACATCGTCTGACAGCATTGGTCGTACGACTCGCTGACTCAGTGTGACAGTAGTAATAAAGCAGCTGCAGTTAGCAGCAGCAGCAGGGCGGTGTGTGTGTGCATGGACTCTGCTCCACTGAAGTTACAGAAGTTGAAGCTGTTGCAGCAGTTCACGGTGTTCCCGTTCCCGTTGGAGTCGACCGAGGTGGACCCGGCCGCTCCGTTGCAGGTCGCCTTACTGGCACACGTCTTTGATATGGTTTTCTTAGTGCCTGAGACACACAGCAGGTTATTAGAGTGAGTCATTATAGTTTCCCACATTTTGCACAGGCTAAAGTTGAAAATATACCATAATAGACCAAAGCTGTAATACTCTAATAAAACAAACCCTACTCTCAGCAGGGCTGCCAACATTTAAGTTCAGCTTGGAGTGTGTTTTTTTTTTTTTGGTGAACCGAAAAAAGAAACGTTCATGTGTAGGCTACAGTGTTACAAATGTATTGAACATGTACAAACTAGGGTTTCCCATTAATGTACCGGGCGTTACAGTGGAATACGCACAGTTCAGTAAAGTTAGAACGATATTGGCAGATTAATATTTCACGGATCAATAACTCATGAACAAAACTTTATTCAGACACAAATTACGTCTCCTATGTACCGTGGTAAGACAACAAACTACAATCACATGTTGATCAAAAAAAGCCAATATGCACCGTCCTCCGAGCTGGACACATTAAATTGGTCTCTTTCCGCAGCCGGAGAAGAAACAAGTGCTCAGGGACCGTCTGCAAAGTGCAACTCCGAAAAAAGAGAATACAATAATATTCAATCACTTCACTATTATACAGTATATTTCTACCAAACTCACTACACACATCAATAGTCTCCTGTTGGTCATACTACAGCAGAGAGTTTGGAGGAATGTGCCTTTGAATAATTTTGGGGAATATTTATAATGTAAAATCATCTTAAATAACTTTACTATTAGGCCTATACAGACAGTATATTTCTACCAAACTCACTGTTTGCATTGTTGTTGTTAGCATCTGGTTAGCTAGCTGCGCTAACGGATATTAAAAGCTGTTTCTAAAACAAGGAGAGGGAGAGCTCTGTCCTGTCAGACTGAAAGAGATAAAGCTCAGTGAGGTAAGGGACTCTCTGTTTAGCTAGTTAACTTTAGTCTAGTTATCTCAGTGGGTCTCAAACGTTTTGGTCACCATTTATGAGAATAAATGAAAAACAGTTATACTATATGACAGTAAAACAAGAATACAGTTTAAAAGGTGAGTGATTTGTAAAATATCCATAAAGCAAAAGAAAATCTGTTTACAGTTCTGTTTCATTTGGGTGTTGAGAGATGTATCCTTAAATTCATGTTGCTCTCAGTGCACCAGGTTGATGCATTTAACTTCAATATTTTAAAAAAAATCTTATAAAATAGCACTTTATCTCTGCTTACACCTATATGGGTCATTCTACAGAAAAGGTGGAAGTGCTGTCACTTACTTTTGGTGTAAGCAGAGATAAAGTGCTATTTTATAAGATTTTTTTTAAAATATTGNAAAATAAATGTATATAAATATACAAATAAAGTGAAGGAACAGCAAACCGAGCGGTCTACGAAATGAGAAATAAGGTCAACTGGCTTAGTTCAGTAAAGTTGGACTCTTACAATGAAGGCTCGATAATTAGCTCACGGCATATACAATGGCATATGGGTCATTCTACAGAAAAGGTGGAATCTGGGTGATACAAATCTGCTGAAATATATTCCTTCTAAAAACATCTAAAACCTGTTAAATAGCAATAACTAACTCTTAACTTGATGAATCCACAACAAGTAGAGCTTAAAGTATTTTTATTTTTTTAATTATTTTTATACTTTATACAATGCTTATTTACATAGGAGTGTCACTGGTGTTACGTGTTACCAGGAAGAAGAGTAAGACCAGTGACGGTAACACCAGTGACAATTTGGAGAAGGTAACACGTAACACCAGTGACACTCCTATGTAAATAAGCATTGTATAAANAGACAAATAGAAAAAGTGTGTTAAGTTATGTGTGCTAGATGTTTACTTGGTGTGTGTGTGTGTGTGTGTGTGTTGGGTGTGTATGTACATTCCTCTGTTAACACTGAACATATGCGACATGACAGATATGAGGATGATATGAGTGCCATGAGTCCTGCAAATGTTTTCAAGTAATACATTATTTTTTCAATTCACATATATCTAGTGAAAACATTTGATGTATTTATTTATTTGACAGGGAGGGTCTATATGATGCGTTTTTTTATTTCAAAGTATTTAGGATCACAGTCAATGTTCAGGGGTGGGGTGGGGTTATTGGTTAGTAAAGGTATGTTCTTATCTTTTCAAAGTTGCAAGATGTAGTTCATTTAAGATGGAAATAGTTGTGCTATAATGCTTTTAAGAGCCAGTGTAAGGTCAAATAATGTCAGGCATGTGGCCTTCATCAAAATGTTGTCAATAAAAGAGCACCTTCATATACCCGCATATCTACAACCTTAGATTTTTGTTTTGTGTCGGGCTGCAAGATCGTTTCAGAAATGTTGTCAGCGGTTTCATGTCAATTAAAAAACTGCAATAACATGGTTTTTTGCCACTAAAGAGCATCGAAAACAAGCTGTAAGCACGAAATTGAAATATAAATTTGGAATTGGTATCAGGGCGACAACTCACAAATATATTCATTATTAAATATTCTTGGTCTATGAAATTGGTGAATTACAGCAGAGGTGTAAAGTACCTAAGCACATTTACTTAAGTACAGTACTTAAGAACAATGTTGAGCTACTTATACTTTACTTGAGTATTTAAATGTTTTGCTACTTTGTACTTCCACCCTGCAGATTTTGATAAATTATGTGAAATATAATCAACACTTTAATCAGACTTTAGTTATACCTTGAGACTCACAAGCTCCCTGCAGTATACAAAGGAATGAAAACTAGCTGCATATTCACCAGCTTTGTTAAACACTGTAACGCATCAATAATTCGAATAAAAACACATATATTATTCTGAAATGGACCAATCTGCATAATAGTATACTTTTACTCATTGATAATTCTGTTGTTACTTCACTATGAGCAACAACTTTCACTTTGTTATGCATATCCGTACAAGTTTTGATGTCTTAATGTCTAAACCTTACTCCTGTTTTTCTTATTTCTGTACTTTCTCGTACTAGATGTATTTATCCAGGCTATTATTAGATATAAAAGGGAGAGCCAGCCTTATAAAGAATAAAGACAAATAAAGTAAACACGTGAAGAAGCCCTGCAGCACAGGTTGAGCCGAACATACTGAAAGTCATAATGTAATACTTGTTTCAGCACCACAAGAAAACACTTGGTGAAGGTGAAGTATCTGTGAAACCACAGCGAAATCAAGGAATGTCCTACACACACAGGCACACACTCACACACATGACATTTGTGAGACGCTTCCAGTAACACTACAGTAGTCGAAGATGTGGGAAGAACTGCGGTGACGTGGTGCTTCTGTAAAACAAACAATAGATACCACAAACACACACACACACACACACACACACACCCAGACCCAGACCCAGACCCAGACCCACACACACACACGCACACCCACACGCACACGCACACGCACACGCACACACACACCCACAGACACACCCACAGCATGAGACACCAGGTTTGACAGCAGAGGCAGGTGGTGAAACACACTCACCGCTGACATGAAGATGCTGCTCAGCTTTGTGCTCCTCTCCGTCCTCGTCCCTTCAGGTAAGCTAAGATCAGACTGTTTGGACGGTAGGATGTGAAGGGTTAGGGGCTTGTCTCACCAACACACTCATTTGTGGCTACACATTTTTGGTTACACACCCGGGGCTTAGCTCAGAGGATGTGACATTATAAATAGTTCTTATAGGTGATCACCAGACGGCTTTAGCCTAAGGTTTGCAAAAAAACTAAAATCATCACTCAAAGTCCCTTTTAGTTACAAACGAAAATATAGAATGCCTTGAGATGAAAAATGTGAATTCTATAGGAGTGAAGTCAAACAGACTTGGTTAAAAGTTATCATCATTGTTAATATTTTAAAAAAATGTCTTCAAATATGAATGTACATTAAGATATGCTACCTGAATGCATTACTGTTTTTATGGTTTTGTTCATCATGTCTCTATTGTGTAGCATAGATTGACTGTATGCTACTGCTGTATCTCGTTGTACAACCTGTTTTTAAAAAATGACAATAAATGATCCTTAACTGTGTCCAAACTATTTAAAGGAAC